CCCGACAGCGGGCCCTGAGGGAAACGGTGTTCCTCAGGTTTTTGGCCGTTTCCGGGCTCTGGGGGCCATGCACGGGCCCCGGGCCACTCTGCGGAGGTTGTGGCCGTCGCCCCCACGCCTGCCCCGCGCGCTCGCCCCGTTCTCGCCGGGGGGGGGGTCGGGGCGTTCGAGGCCTTGGATGTGCTCTTGGAGTGTTCGAGGCCTTGGATGTGTTTGGGAGGCCTTCAAGACGGCAGGTGTTTCGCTGTTTTCGGGCTCTGGGGGCCCTCCACGGGCCCCGGGACCGTCAGAAAACGACTGAGGATGCAAAGCTCGTCCTGGGGGAAGAGGGCGCTGCCTGGGGAACCACTGCCGCGCCGTTTGTTCTGTCGCGCGGCCTTCCGCCTTGGGGAGGGCACTGCGGTCACCAGGGCAAACGCCGCCTCGGGCGTGGTGGGTTCACCTTGGGTTTGTCGCGGTGTCTGCGTCGTCTCCTTGGGCGCGGGGCGCAGGGCTTGACGTGGGTTTACCGTGGTGTCGGCGTCGTCCGCTTGGGCGCGTCGAGGCCACACGGCGCGGCGACAGATGTCGTTCGTGTTGCGCGGATGTGGTGTGCGTTCTGCACATGTGTGTCAACCGCTTCCACGATCTCCTCGCAACGGCACTATGAGGTGAGGTGAGGCTGCGCGTTCTGGTGGTGTGTATGTGGGAGAAGTGTATATATGAGGCGTTCCAGAAATGGCCTTGCTTTCGAGGATCTCAGGAATTGGCATCTCTTCCGCGTCGGAAGGCGGCGGACGGTCGGCGGAAGTAAACACGAGGCCGCTTCCGCCGGCGGAAGCCAGCGGAAGCTCGGCAGAAGGCGGCGGAAGTAAAAGATGTGCTCCCAAGAGATGGAAACATGTTTGGGTTCAGGGTTTCCGAACTCGCCCATATGTGTTTGTATATTTGTGTACGTATACACAAATGTATATATATATACACATACATCAATCTTCATGTCTGCTTATGTTTCTGTATGCATATGTATATGAATAGAGAGAGAGAGAGAGTGAGAGCTATATATATATATATATATGGAGAGAGAAAGAGAGAGAGAGAGAGAGAGAGAAAAAAAAAACAAAAAACAAATCCTTATTCCTATATTGCTACCTGGCCAGGGACCCCAGACAAGAAAAACGCCCCCCCATAACGAATTTGGCCCACCTTGGGCCTTTCGGGCAGCCCCTCAGACGACCTGGGAGGACGTCACGAGAGCCCGAAGACGACCCCTGAGGGCCCCCGACGTTCTGGCGTGCTCCCGAAACGACCCCAGGGAGCCCCAATACGGTCGACGACGACCCCAAAGGAGCCGTCATACCCCCAAAGATCATTCCAAACATCCCAAGAGGCCTCCAAGAGCACTCCCAAGGCAAAATTAATTGATATTCCTTTGGTTTGTCCGGATTTTGGGGTTCTCCCCTGTTCGGCTTTCCGACGCTCCAAGACGGCTCACGAGGCCCCCAAGATCGCCCTAAGATGGTCCGACAGACCTCCCAATGGGCCCCAGACCCGCCCAAGAGGCCCTGAAGAGGCCCCAAGAGGCCCCCAGGAAGCCCCAAGAGGTCCCCAAGAGTCCCAAAAGATCCCGCAAGGACCCCACAGAAGTTCTCCTAAGAGGACCCCGAGAGGCAACATTCACTGATTTTCCGTTGGTGCCCAAAACGGGCCAGGAGCCCGAACATGACCCCAGGACAGCCCAATAGAGCCAATACGCACCCCAAGACGGGCCCAAGCCATAACGGGATTTCACCAAGTTGCACAGAGTCCCTTAGGCTCCGGGTGGCTCCAATAAGGTCCACGTGATATTAACATTCTGAACGCGAGGCCTCCCAAGAGAGAACGGCGGCGCAAAACAATTTCAGCGTCGAAATAAGTGGCCCCCGTGGCGACACGGTCCCGAGGACCTCCAAGGCCCTCACATGTGTTTTTTCTCATAGTCCCAAAGACACGATCATTGGTAAGCCCAAGTCGCCGTTCCACATTCTGCCGTGTCCTCCATACCGTCTCCTACCCAAGTCTTTCGGCACTCGCGAGCCCTTCACTGCGCTTCCTGCCTCCCTCCCCCTCTGGCCACGGCCGCGTACATGATATAGTATATAGGCATGTGTGTACACGTAGTTCTTCCCAAGCAGACATGATACACATGTTGGCGCCAACATGGACGTATCGACATATATATATATATATATGTATATATATATGTTCAATGTAGAAGAGCCTCGATATACACATATATATATATATATATACACGTGTATCAAGTTGAAAGAGAAAAACATGTACGTGCATCACTATATCCGCAACCGTATATATATACGCACTCACACACACCTACATGTCTATAGATGTAAGGCGTGCATGCACGTTCGCAATTATGACATGTATGCACATTTTCGCGCGAGCATGTGCACGCGCACGCACGCCGCCCGCGTGCGAAACTCGAAGGACCAAGGTGCATGGCTCGAAGCGCCACTGCAGTCTTGTGTATTTATATATATATGTGTATGTATGTGTGTCTAATGTGCGTATTTGTGTTAGAAAGAATCCTCGGCGGCGAAATCCGAGCCCTGCCCTTCGGCGGGCGGGCCCTTTTGGAGGCCACTCTGCGGCGGGTGTGGCCGTCGCCCCCGCGCCTGCCCCGCGCGCCCGCCTCCTGCTCTCGGGGGGGTTCGGTGTGCTCGAGGCCTTGGATGTGTTTTTGGAATGTTCGAGGCCTTGGATGTGTTTTTTGAGGCCTTCAAGACGGCAGGTGTTTCAGTATTTTCGTCCGCTGGGGGCCCTTGCCGGGCCCCGGGACCATCGAGAAACAACTCAGGACGGAAAGCCCGTCTTGGGGAGAGGGTCGAGACTTCTTGGGACCGCGTGTACGATCGAAATGAGTATGGAAGGAATGTGTACGATGCCCGACAGCAGTTCTTGTCCATTTTGAATCCGATTCGCTGTCCGCACCCGCCGCGGACGTTGCTCTCTGAAGATAAAAATCCGCCTGCCCAACAGCGGCCGCTGTCAGTTTTGGACAACATTTCTCGTTGGACATTGTGCCCAGATTTCCGTGCCAATTTCGAGCGTCCAAGATCGATTTCAGAGTTGATGTGTTCCCACAGTTATTCGCATCGTACACGTTCGACCTTCAAATCTTCAACGCATGTTTTAGATGCACGGCGAACGACTGAGCTTTGGGGTCAACCAATTCTGTAGTCGACCTCCTACTCGTCCTGGCCCCTCGACGATCAACGATTCAGGCAACTCCATAGGCGGCGCGGGTAGGGTTCCGTGTCCGTCGAACACGTGAGCGACGCAAACTCAAACGGGGTCGTCTTCAACGACATTGGCGCGTAAGCGCCCTCGTTTCCAATGTGGCGTGCCGTGTTGGCCGGCCGCGTGAGCCGCCGCGTACGTCGATACGGTCAGGAACTTTGGCGTAGCGTGTCGCGCCGCTGGTTTTGGCCCGCTGCGCTTCGGCGCGGCGTCCCCGTCCCGAGCCTTCCGAGCCTCCCGTCCTGCGGAGCGGAGCGATACGCTATCCGCTTGCAGGGCATAGCGTGTCTCCAGGGCCGCCGCGGCGACACGCTAACCGCACCATCGCCGATCAACGATTCAGGCCACTCGACGGGTGGCGGGGGTAGGGTTCGGAATTCGTCGAACACGTGGCGAGATCAGAACCTTACCCCGCCTCCCATCGATTCAGGAGAATCGATGGTTGTTGGGGGTCGGGTTCGGATGTCGCCACCTAACAACCACGGGTTCGGGTTCGGACCTCCAGAACATCCAGGTCCTTCCAAGCTGGAGCTGCTCCTTGTTTATGTGTCGTGACTGCACCAGCGAGATGGGAGTGCCTCCAGACGGCCTTCGGGCTGCGCTAGACAGGCCTCCAACCACCCAAGGGGCCTCCCGACGGCCTATAACGGTTCCGAGACATTCACCAATCGGCTACTCCTTTGCTGGGATCCGCGTCAGAACCTTCCGCTGGGGAAGGGCTCTGCCAAAGCCGCCAGGAGTCAGCGGAGGAAGAGCCTGAGATCCTGACGTTGCGATGTTGCACACCTTGCGAGATCGCTCGGCTTCGGGCGGGACCATCACAGACCGGTCGGGGCTCGACACATGCCGCAGAAAGATTGGGTACAGGGCTCTGGTCGTGATTCTTCGAGATGTTGTAGTTGTTGTTCGCGTCGTCGGGTCCCAGGGAAGATCCCGATGCCGCTGCTCGTCCTGGAGAGCCCTCGTCGTCACGGCTGCACTCCCCCCTCGGAGCGTCTTGCCAGAACGCACCCTTGGAGAGGCCCAGCGAGTATCCAGCGGTATCATTACCTCTGTGCTCCCCCGTGGGAGCAGACGAGTCCCGAGGGGAACGGGCCCAGAGGTTTCTCACTGTTCTGGGTGCCCTCGCCCCCCCCCCCCCCGGGGACCTCAGGTCGCAGGTGCTGCCGAAGTCGCCTTCGAGCAAGCGGGGCTTGAGGGAAGCGGGTCTTGAGGTTCTCGACTGCCTCTGGCTTCCCTGAGCGACTCCCTGAACCCGCTTCTTGAACCTGCTTCTTGGCTTGTTTTGTTGACTGCTTCTGGCCTCCCTGAACGACTCTCGGGCCGGACGAAAGGGGGGGATTGGGAAAGGGGGGGTTACGAAATCTGCTGCATGCAGCTGGTTTCGGCCCCACCGAGGGGCCCATTCCTCGATACATGGCCGCCTCCAGCGCTGGGAGACGTCGGGAAAATCAGCTACGTGAGCTGATTCTCAAACACCCCCTTTGCTATCCCCCCCTTTCGCCCGGCCCGAGACTCGGGGTGGGTGAACAGCCCGTGCCCAGGAACAGGTCCAGACTGCTGGGGAGACGCGTTGCCACAAAAAAGTCACCGCGTCGGATGTCTGGGAGGTTCCAGGCCTCCCAGGTGGGGTCCGAGCCAGGTGGGGTCGGAGGACCGCGCCGCCTCGCCGATGCGTCGGCGATGCGGCTCGATGTAGGGCCCGATCTGGTTCTCGCCTGCGCCCCCGCTGCCTCGGCGATGCGGCACGACCCTCCGTGTCCCCCTCTGGGAAGCGTCCGGGTGCGCCCCTGACTCAAGAGGCGCCCCCAGGCTGTCTCGCGCGGCCCGTGCGGCCTCCAGGGCACCCTGCACGAGGCCCCGGGGGGCCCCCAGGGGCTCCGGGATGGCGCGCCAGGCCGGGGGCGCCTCGAGAGCCGGGGAAAACCTTGTGGCAGACCCAGAATGGAAGGTCGACGAGCTGCGGCACGCCGCGTCGCAGCAGGCCCACAGGAGCGGTGCGCGCGAACCGAGGGAGAGAGCACAGCACACACACACACAAACACACACAGACACACACGCACACGCACACGCACACACGCACACACACACACACACACACACACACACACACACACACACAAACACACAAACACACAAACACACACACACACACAGACACACACAGACACACACACACACAAACCCTGGGAGGTCCGCGCGAAGCGTCCCTGGATCGGCGCTGGAGTCCAGCGCCGATCAAAGAAATCCGCGCGGGCCTTCGGAGGCTTCTGCTTGTGCCGTTCCTGTCCCCGCCGGTGAGGCAGGCAGGTCCCGAGGGAGACGGGTCCTGAGCTCTCTCGCCTCTTTAGCCTCCCAGGGCCCTCCACTGGCTCTGAGCCTGTCCACAGAAAACGGCGGTCGGGAGCAGGCGTCGGCCTTGGGGAAAAGAGCGCCAGGATCCATGACCCGTCAACACATCCGACGTCGCGGTCTTTAGTTCACAGCATGGGCTCCTCTGGATGTCTGGCCTCCCTCCCAGGGACGAGTTTTTCATCCCGAGTTGCTCTTTGATCTTTGCTTGTGAACGTGGACTCCCGGAGGACTGGCGACTCCTTCCCCGGGGACCGGTGCTTCCTCCCGAGTTGGGCTCTGATCGCCCAGGGGCCCGGTGAGGGCCCCCAGAGGCCGAAAATTTCGCAGACCCACGGCCGAGAACCCAGGCCCCCAGAGGCCAGGGCCCCCAGAGGCCGAAGAGGCGTGCTCGCGGAGGCTTCGCAGCACGAGGGTGCCATATATGCCAGGGCCCGGCTCCTCCCTGCCAAGGATCGGTGCCCTGGAGGCTCGGCTCGGGGGAGCGGCCCCTCCCGCGCAGCCGGCGCGGGGCGAGGCCGCGGGAGCGGATGCCGCGCCTGCCGGCCTCCCGGGTGCGTCGGGGGAGTTCGTGCCCGTCGCGGTGTTCGACGCCTACAGGGAGGCTGTCGCGAGGGAGCTGCTGGCGCACCAGGAGGCTTACAGGGAGGCGCTGGAGGCCCGCGCGGGCGAGGCTGCGAGGAAGTTCGAGGCGCTCGCGAAGGAGCTCGTCAGCAAGCAGGACGCGCTGCTGGCGGCCAGGGGAGCCGAGGACCTCGCGGACCTCGTCGCGAGGCACATGGGCATGCACAGGGCCGAGGTGCAGAAGGAGATCGCGCTGGTGCGCTCAGAGGCGCACGAAAATCTGTCAAAGGCCTCCGGAAGTGTGGACGCCGATAAGAATTTCGTCTATCCAGCTGCCTACGGCAGGTCCCGCCACCGTGCATGGCTTGTGGGTGTGAAGCCTATTGGATGTTCGTTGGGATCTCGTGGGAAACCTCTCAGGGGCCTGGAGGCAGATTTGAGGCCTCTTGGGGGCCGTTTGGGCGCCTCGATTTGGGCCTCTTAGGGGCCTCTTCGTGGCCTCTTGGGCGCCTCCTCTTGAGGCCTTGGCAGCCCTTGGCGTTCTTCCACGCCTTCCTCCTCCTCCTCCTCCTCCTCCTCCTCCTCCTCCTCCTCCTCCTCCTCCTCCTCCTCCTCCTCCTCCTGCTCAGCGTGCTGCGGGCGCGGCGGCGGACAAGGCCCTTGTGACGACGAACGCCAAGCTCCAGGCCCTCGGCGCCAACGCGACGGAGTCCCTGGGCGCCCTGCGCCGCTCCCTGGACGTGCACCGGGACTCCGTCCGCGGGCAGCTCCTGCGGCTGGAGGCCGCAGCAGGGGGGGGGGCGTGGAGGGCGTCTCCGAAGTCCGAAGGGCTTGGGCGACCCGTCCTCTTCCTCCTCCTCCTCCTTCTCCTCCTCCTCCTCCTCCGTCCTCCTCTCCTCCTCCTCCTCCTTCCTACAACCTCCTCCTCCTCTCCTCCCTCTTCCTCCTCCTCCTAAACCTCCTCCTCCTCCTCCTTCCTCCTCCTCCTCCTTCTCCTCCTCCTCCTCCTCCTCCTCCTCCTCCTCCTCCTCCTCCTCCTCCTCCTCCCCCCTCCCTCCCAGAATGTTCTAGGAACCTTTTTTTTGGTCTGCACGAAATGTTCTTACAGAATTTATGGCCAGGGCTGTCTTGTGTTAGCACATTGGTTTATGGTATAAGAAGATTGTGCTTGTGTTTCGAACATTGTCGGGTCCTAAGAGCATGTCGTGGTGGGCGTAGAGACATGCCGGGACGGCCGGTCCTTGCTCAAGAGTCGATCTAGCCCATGCCCCTCCTCCGTCCCTCTCTCCCTTCCTCCCTCCCCCCCTCTTCGGCAGCGTCCCGAATGCCCAACTCAAGAACATGATGGGGGCCAGGGCGCCTGTACCTCTCGTCCGGTGCGCCGGCCTCCTGCCGGCCCTGGCGGAAGAGTGAGAAATCTTTGGATGAAGAGCTTCTCTGGCCTGCGGGGGGTCGGATACGTGCTCGTGTTTCGCGTGCTTGCTGTCTGGCCGGCAGGTGGACTGCTCGCCCGTGCCCTGCACGGGGCCGCGCAGCCGAGCGGCATGCTCGCGCGGCTCCGTCCGCGCGTTCCTGCCCGGGAGCCGGGCGCGGGAGGGGCAGGGGGGGGAGAGAGAGAGAGAGAGCAGTCGCGCAGCGGGCCCGAAGACGTGGAAGGCCTGCGGCCATCGGCCCGAGGGCATCCCGGATCGAGTCAGGAGGGGAAGAAGCACACAGGCACAATGAATCGTCGATCCCCCAGAAAGAATTGCGAGAATATGGGAAGTGGGGGGGTGGAAGGCAAAGAGCCAGAAGATATAGGAAAATGTGGGGGCTCCTGTTGTTTGTGTCTGTTTATTTGTGTGTGTCCCAGGGCCCCCCAGTGGTGCCCCCCCAGCTGCGCCCAGTGCCTCCTCCGCCCCGACGATTTTATTTTTCGCGACGCACCCCTCCCCCCCAGTGGGACCTCCCCAGCGCCCCCCAGTGGCCCCCAGCGCCCCCCCAGTGGGGCCTCCCCAGCCGCGCCCAGTGCCCCCTCCGCCCCGACGATTTAATTTTTCGCGACGCACCCCTCCCCCCCCCCTGTGGGACCTCCCCAGCGCCCTCCAGTGGTCCCCAGCGCCCCCCAGTGGGGCCTCCCCAGCCGCGCCCAGTGCCCCCTCCGCCCGCGATTTAATTTCGCGACGCGCCCCCCCGGCGCCCCCCAGTGAAACCTCCCCAGCGCCACCCAGTGGTCCCCAGCGCCCCCAGTGGGGCCTCCCCACCGCGCCAAGTGCCTCCTCCGCCCGACGATTTATTTTTCGCGACGCACCCCTCTGCCCTGCCCCCCTCCCCCCCAGTGGGACCTCCCAGCGCCCCCCAGTGGCCCCCGCGCCCCCCAGTGGGGCCTCCCCGCGCCCCAGTGCCCCTCCGCCCCGACGGTTTTATTTTTCGCGACGCACCCCTCCCCCCCGCCCAGTGGCGCACCCCTCCCCCCCCAGTGGGACCTCCCCAGCGCCCCCCAGTGGTCCCCAGCGCCCCCCTGTGGGGCCTCCCCAGCCGCGCTCCGTGCCCCCTCCGCCCCGACGATTTACGGCCCCTGAGAATTTACCCGACAGACTGTGTGCAAAACGCCTGCCGTAGACAAGCGTTCCCAGCACAAGGCGGCAACGCACTTTGCACCGCGAGCCTCCAACAGCTAGTTCACCACAGTAATTTCTCTCGGCCCTCCTTGGACCCTGGAGGCCTCCTCTTGGAACCCTCTGTAGGCTTCTCGGTGTCTGTTGGAGGCTTCCTGGGAACCTGTTAAAGGTCTTCGGGTCCATCTTGCGGGGGGCGCCCCTTGACGTCTCTTCGAGCTCGCCCTCTGAACCTCCTCTTGCGGCCCTGTTTGTTCACTCCTTCTGCGATGTCTGGCCCCCTCTTCCCCCCTCCTCCTCCACCTCCTCCTCCTCCTCCTCCCCCTTCCTTTTTGTGCAAGAGCCATGGCACACGTGCCACTTGTTTGTGTGTGTCCCAGGGCCCCTTCATCAAGAGTGCGCGGCTCGATGTGGCCCTGGGACACTCGTGCCCAGTGCTCCCGAGCACACGACCAGCACGGGTGTCCGCAGCCAGGGAGCGAGGAGGGAGGAGGGTACGCGGGTCGGAGAGGAGACGGTCGAGCTCCTTCCTCGCCTGGGCTGCGAGGCAGGATCGGCCTGCCACGGGGGCTGTGAGCACCAGGCGGGCCCGCGCGGCTCCCTGGCAAGCCTGGGTGGCGGCGGGCGGGCGCTGCTGCACGGGCAGGGGTCAGAGGCCCTCAGCGGGGGGAGGCCCCGAGATCCTGGCGTCCCGGGTTCTTCCCGCCGGGTGGTTTCGTCAGGTTTCGGGCCCAGGGGGGCCTCGCAGATCGATCCGGCTCGCAACATGGCGCAGAAAGTGCGCACGTGCTAGCGGTGTCTCAATTTTGTCCGTGCCGTAAAATCTCAGGGGGGGAAGAGAGAGAGAGAGAGAGAGGAAAAACAAAGAGAGAGAGAGAGAGAGAGGGAGGGAGGGAGAGAAAGAATCCCAGAGTGCTTGGCCGTGCCTGATGAAGAGTCCAGTTGGACTGCATTGCTCACGGAGGAGGGTCCTCTCCAGTGCATGCCGACGCCGACGCCAGCGCAGCACAGCTCCTGCTCGCCCATCTGCGGGGAGGGGGCGGAGGGAGGTCGGTGGTTCAGAGGCGGGGTCCTGAGGCATGGGGCCCCAGGACGAGGTGCCTCGAGCAGTGGAAGCCCCACCTTGGATCACTTCCCATCCTTTGGGCCCCATCCGTGAGGACCGGGGAGCCGGGGGGGGAGCCGGGGGCCCAGGCCCCCGACGTCAGGACTCCCTCCCAACGCCGACCCTCAGAGGGCTCGACCCCTCCTCCTGGGCCGGCGTCCTCCCGAGGCTTTCAGGCCACTCCAGGGGACAAAAATAAGAAGAACAACATATGAAGAAACTATGACATAAGATGATGCAATAAGTAAAACAAAGAAGAAGCAACACATAAGAAGAAAAAGACATGATTTTGCTTTGCCCGAGCTGCAAAACCAAGGGGGACGAGGGGCCCGAGCGCCGCGGCCCGCGAGGCCGCGGCCGCGGAGGGCCTCGCCGCGCACCGGAACCTCTCGGCCGCGCTGGCGGCGCAGGGGGCGGAGGCCGCGGCGGCGTGGGCGGCGCAGCGCGCGGAGGCCGCGGCGGCCCTGGCGGCGCAGCGGGCCGAAGGCGCCCGGAACCTGTCGGCCGTGTCCGCGGCGCTGGCGGCGCAGCGGGCGGAGGCCGCGGCGGCCCTGGGCGCGCAGCGGGCCGAGGGCTTCCAGAACTTGTCGGCGCACCGGGCGGAGGTCGCGGGGGTGCCCTCCTCCGCCTCCTCCTCCTCCTCCTCGTCCTCCACCTCCTCCTCCTCCTCCTCCTCCCCTCCTCCTCCTCATCCTCCCTCTTCCTCTTCCTCCTCCTCCTCCTCCCCACCCCCCACGATTTCTGAGGGGGAGGTGGGGCTCACTTCGTCGGGAACCCCCGAACGGAGTGAGCCCCACCCTCCCCCTGAGAAATCGTGGGGGGCAGGGGCAGGGCTCGCACGTGCCCCCCCTGAGGTCGCGGGGGCCCTGGGCGCGCAGCGGGCGGAGGCCGCCACCCTCGCCGCGGGCGCCCTCGCGGCGGCGCGGGCGGGCGGGGCCGCGGCCGCCGCGGCGCTTGCCGCACAGCGGGCGGAGAGCTCCGCGAACCTCACGAGGTCGGGGGAGGGGAGCCCAGAGATCCGACGCCCCAAACGGTGGGAGCTGGAGGGTTTCCCCGAAGGGCTTAGGCGACCCGTCCTCCTGCCTCCTCCTCCTCCCTCTCCCCCTCCTCCTCCTCCTCCTCCTCCTCCTCCCTCCTCCTTCCTCCTCCTCCTCCTCCTCCTCCTCCTCCTCCTCCTCTCCTCCTCCTCCCCCTCCTCCTCCTCCTCCTCCTCCTCCTCCGCCTCCTCCTGCTCCTCCTCCTCCTCCGCCTCCTCCTCCTCGGGTCGCATACGGCCCCGGGGGAAACCGTGCAGTTGGAGCAGGCGGTTCGGAGCCATTTTCGGCCTCTGGGGGGCCCTCGCCAGGCCTCGGGCGCGTCAACAAGACGAGTCGGGACAGAAAGAAAGCCGGGTGTGGGGAAGTGGTCTGGGCTTTTGGGGGTTACGCACAAAACATCTGAGCAGTCGGATGTCTGGGAATATACCGATGCGGCAGGTTCGTGTCGTGACGGCGACACGGCGGCCCCAGCGCGGGCGTTCAAGGTTCAACGCCGCCAGTGGCCCAGAAGCAATACGGAATGATCTGGCGATCGAGAAGCCGCCGATCCACGTGGCGTCAGGAACCAGCGCCAGGGTCGTCACGACACAAACCTGCGTACCGCTGCTCGTCATGGAGAGTGCTCGTCACCACGGCTGGACTGCCTTCGAAACCTTGGTCAGAGCGTAGCCCTGAAGAGGTCCAGGGAGTGGCGGTGTCGGTGCCTTTTTTATTCCCCCACGAGGGTCCTGGTGGCCCTGCGGGCCCACGAGTCGGCCAGCTCGCCCTCGGGGGCGCGGAGGTCTGAGGGCGGCAACCGCCCACCTCACTGCACCGAGCCTGGTCGGACCGATCTTGGGCCCAGGATCCGTGCACTTGAACATGCCTCCTGGCCAAGCCAGGAGGGCGTAAGCACCAGTCCAGGGCTCAGGGTGGGCCTGGCCTGCATCTGCGTAGGCGTATACCGCCGCAAGCTTGCTGGGCTGTGCCCGACAAGCTGCGCATCCTGCGATGCGCAACTTTCCGGGCACCCTGGCATCCCTGCATCCTTGCCTCTCCTGCCCGTCCTGGGCCACGCTCCATGGGCCGCGCAGCGCCAGGGAGGGCCTCGGCCTGGGCACTCTCACCGCGCATCTTTGCTGGCTGCAGCTGGCGCCCTCCATGCGAAGGAGCGGGGAGCTGTGCACGACCAGCCGGGCCTCGGGCGACGGGGGCGCCGCCTCGGCGGCCGCGCCCGCGGACGCCAGGGACGCCGCCAGGGCGGCGGCGCCCCCCACGGCCGCCCGCGACGGCGCCGCGGCGCCCCCGCGCGGCGGAGGCGGCGCCGCCAGCCAGGGGCGGCCTCAGCCTGCCGATCCGACTTCGGCCCCCGCTGCGCCAGAGGTCGGGTGACGAAGTCTACGCAGATCCACGGAGGAGGAGGAGGAGGAGGAGGAGGAGGAGAGGAGAGGAGGAGGAGGCGGGGAGGAGAAAGGAGGAGGAGGAGGTGGAGGAGGAGGAGGGAGGAGGAGAGAGGAGGAGGGAGGAGGAGGAGGAGGGGAGGAGGAGGAGGAGGAGGGAGGAGGAGGAGGGAGGAGGATGGACGGAGGAAGGAGGAGGGGAGGAGGATGGGGAGAAGGAGATGGAGTGAGGAGGATGAGGAGCGGAGGAGGAGGAGGGAGGGAGGAGGAGGGAGGAGGGGAGGAGGAGGGAGGGGGGAGGGAGGAGGGGAGAGAGGAGGGAGGAGGAGGGGGAGGAGGAGGGGAGGAGTAGGGCGGAGGAAGGAGGAGGAGGGAGAGGAGGAGGAGCAGAGGAGCAGGAGGGGAGAGGAGGTGGAGAGAATAAAAATATGAAGAATAACAAGAAGAAGAAGAGAGGAGGAGGAGGAGGAGGAGGAGAAAGGAGAAGAGGAGGAGGAGGAGGAGGAGGAGGAGGAGGAGGGGGAGGAGGAGGCGGGGGAGGAGGAGGAGGAGGAGGAGGAAGAGGAGGAGGATGAGGAGGAGGAGGAGGAGGGGGAGGAGGAGGTGGAAGGAGGAGGAGGAGGAGGAGGAGGAGGAGGACCATCCTGAACCCAAGAGCTACGCATACGCCCTTCTGACCTAGCCGGCAGGGCGTGACGTATACACCGCTGCTGGGTTCAGGACGGGCCTGTCCAGGGAGCAGTGGAGATGTCTAGACCTCGTCGCCCGGAGAGGGGGCCGCTCTGGGCAGAGCGGGGGACGGCCCTGCCGCTGGCGGGCGTGGCCGCGCGCAGGGCAGCGGCGGCGCGGGCCCTCCCGGCCAGAAGAGGGCCCAGGGCCCGCCCTTGGCCGCCCCTCCGCAGAGGGCCACAGAGCGCCTGGCGCACGGCGGCCGCGCAGGCGGGCCCGGGCTTGCGCAGGGCAACGCCAGCGCGGGCCCACCTGGCCAGCAGGGCCGAGGCCTGCGCTCCCCTCCGAGGACGGCCGCCGAGACCTTGGTTGGGAAAGGGCGCGCCGGTGGGCCTGGACCTGCCCCGGGCAACGGCAGCGCCAGCCCCTCTGGCCAGCAGAGCCAGGGCCCGCCCTCTCCTGTACCGCCGCTGCCAGAGGCGGCCGTCAAGGCATCGGCGGGCTCAGCTGCGCAGCGCAACGGCAGCGCGGGCCCTCCCGGCCAGCATGGGCTCGGACCCCCTCCCGCCCCTCTTCCGGAGAAGGCCTTGGCAGGTGACGGGCGCACGGATGCCCTTGCGCGCGCTCCGGGCAGCAGCAGCGTGGACCGTCGCAGCAAGAAGGGCCGGGGACCATCCGCGGGCGCCGTGGAAAAATCGGCGACGCGCAACGCAGGAGTGACCCTTCGCCGTCGTGGCCTTTGGTTTGTGCCCCATGGTCTCCTCCCGCGCCCCTGCAAAGAAGCGCACCGGAGGTCACTCCTGCCTGGGGCCACGATTCGATACATCTATATACAGGGCAGTTGCTAATACGTCGGATTTTAAACATATATGATGTTTAATACATGATCAATTATGAACAAGTGTATGCAGACAGTCATCTTTGTTCTTAATACTAATTCCTTGCATTTTTAGTACATGATCCGCACGCGGAGCATGTATTAAAAACGGCACTGTATATATATACACATATATATATATATATAATGATCGTATGTCAACTTCCGGGGACCTCCAGCGACTTCTTGGTACCCATCGATCTGCGAACATGTGAAGCGACAGACCGTGCGGCAATATCACAGTCACACATGCAAGTGTCCCTCCAGCGGCCTGATGACGCCACCACAGCGTGAGCCAGACTCGTCTGCAAACGAATCGAGTTCCACGGCGTGGCCAGTGGCGGGCTGCGCCAAATCGAGCGAGTGCCTGGAGCAACGCACACACACACACAAGCACAAACATGGTCCAAGCAAAGCACCCTAATACAGCAAAGGTCTTTATCATCATGACGGCATGACGAAAAAGGCTACTGGGGAACATGGCGAGCTGATGCAGTGGACTTACCCCTGAAATAGTCAGCGGACCTTTTGTGCTCGCGTCGTCGTCGAACCCAGTTCAACACACGTGCTGTCAGCTCACGGACGACAGGAACCCATGCCAAAACACACGTGCGGGGCTCACACGTGTGTTATAGCATGGGTTCTTCTTCTCCTCCTCCTCCTCCTCCTCCTCCTCCTCCTCCTCCTCCTGCTCCTCCCCTTCTCCTCCTCCTCCTCCTCCTCCTCCTCCTCCTCCTCCCCCTCCTCCTCCTCCTCTTCTCCTCCTCCTCCTGGATGACCTGGATACGTAAAAACGCTTGGCTCCATCTCGGGACCACCATGTTCGATACCCCCTAAGTGGCCCCGAGGCGCACCCTTCTCTAGCTGGCACGCACATGCACACGCGGAGCGCATCCGGGGCGGTCCCGGGGAGCACGATCTGTATGCGGGCACAGGGACCGCGTAGGCTCCACATCAGTGGAGGCCACGATCCGTGTGTGCGGAGTCCAGGAATCGTGGCCCTGGGGCGATCCTGTGGACCGCAATCCGTGCGCGGGCAGAAGGGCAGTGATGCGCACCATCTTCGAGTCAGCACATGACGCTCCTGGAGGGCACCCTCCGTGTGCTGGCAGGGACCGCGTGGGTTTTACACCGGTGGAGGCCACGATGCGTGCGCGGGCATAGGGATCGTGGCCATGAGACGCTGCTGGGGGGCACGATCCGCGTGCGGGCACACGGATCGTGAGGCGAGCCGCTCTCGAGCCGGCACACACAGGACACACCTGGGACGATCTTATCGGGTGCTGCCAGAGGTGCCTCTGGGCCGAGGTGCCCCCAGGGGCGCCAGGTATGACCTCGCGCCTCACGTTCAGATCGGCGCCTCTGCGTTGAAGCTACGTGCAGGGGCTCGCCCCAGACGCACATGATGCCCGCACACGTAGCGTGTTCTCCAGGACCTGGAGGGCACGCCAGTGTGCGGGCAGAGGGATCGCGCGGGCTTCACTCAGCAG